CTCCTGGGATGCCCCCTCTCTCCACTGCAGCCATCAAGGCCAGGGTTGGGGGCTCTCTTTCTAGGGACAGACCTGGCTCTGAGTCCTAGCTCCACCTTCAACAGCTCTGTGACAGGCAGGCGACCACCCTTCTCTGTGCCTCAGCTCCTTTACCTGTAAAATAGAGCCAGCAAGCATATCAACCCCAGAGGGTCATAGTGACAGTGATTCCAGCCAGGTCCTCAGCACAGAGCCTTCTGAGCACGGAGTGCCCAGCCAGGGCTGGCTTTTCCCGCAGCAGGGGCTGTGCTAAGTGCTTTAGGTGTACTCTGTACTCATCCAGCCTCCACTAGGGCTCCAGGAGGTGGGAATTCTCGCTCTCCCCACTGGATGATGGGGAACATGAGGCATGGACAGGTGAAGTGACCAGCTTCCACAGCTGGTCAGTAGAGCTGGTAGGATTCAAACCCTGGACAGTCTGGGGTGCGTGAGTTTTCTGGGGGACCTAGGCCCTGTGCCGCACCTACCAGCTGCCGGGGGCCAGGAGCCTCGAGCTGGTGGGGCCTATAGACCGCTCCGCTGAGCCGCCAGTAATCTGGGCGGAGGCCAGAGAGCCGTCCTTCTTGGTTAGAATCCTGCAGCCAGTCTCCCTGCTGTGCAGACACATAATTATATTTCACATTAAAGGGGAAGCTGGAGGCCCTGGGGCCGGGAGCCCTTTGAGACTTGTGCTCTGGCCACAGGTCTGCCTCCTTGGCCCAATTCTGTGGCCCCAAGGCTGAGCAAGGGATCAGATGGGTGAAAAAGTGGGGTCTCTCTGGGCCAAGGCCCAGCTGGACAGGTCTGTCTGCCAGGATGAAAGGCCTGGGCTCCGTGGGAGGCTGCGAGATCTGGGGCCCAGACAATAGGCCCCAGGAGGCTGGAAGAGCAGGGCGCTTGGGGACAGGCTGGGAGGAGAGCCTGAGCCTCCAGAGGCAGGGGTGGCAAGAGAAGAGGGTCACAGAGGGGTCAGGTCGGCAGAGAGAGCAGGGGGAGGAGCAGGGAGGAGAAGGCAGGAGAGGGGAGAAGGCAAACAGCGCAGGATGGGGAGGAGAGAGAGGCTCTTAAAGGGGGCAACGCTGAGTGTCTGAGCGTGCCTGCCTGCTGCGCGAGGGGAAAAGAGTCCGTGAGAATGTACAGACCAGGATCTGTGTGCAGGTGTGCACACGTGCAGATACCACCCCGCGTGTGCACGCATGAGTGTGTATGCACTGTGCACCTGCAGTCGTCATGCATGTCAGGGCGTGCATTTTGCGTGTGTAGATGTGGACGCCTGAGCTTGTGTACCCTGCCGTGTGCACGCGTGTATGTAAGATTCCTTTGACTGTGTGTGCTCACCATGCACCTGTGTGTGCGCGTGTCCCTGGAGGACGTGCCTCTGGGTGTGTGTGTGTGTGCGCGCGCGCGCGCCCCAGTGCGCAAGTGGCTGACGGTGTGTGTCGGGAGGGGGGCGGCCCTGGGCTGGGGGCTCCGGGCCAGGCCAGGGCGCTGGTGGGCGGGGGCAGCGGCGGCGGCGCGGGGCGGGCGGGCGTGCTCTCGGTGGAGAGTTAGAGGAGTTGCCTTGCCGAGCTGGGTTCTGGTGGCAGCGGGGCGCGGAGCTGGGTGCGCGCCGAGCCTCAGCCTCCAGCCGCCTCCTCGCCCTCCATTCCTCTCTCCCCGCCTTCCCTGGGCCTCGCCGCTGCCGCCGCCTCTCTGGGAACGGTAGCAGGGGGCGAGGGGCTGGCGCGGCAGGAGCAGGCGGGGAGGCGCGGAGCGCCGGGCATAGGGGAGCGCGCCCGGCCCTGCCCGGGATCAGATAACAGCGGGCGGGGGAGGGGGTTGGCCGGCCGCGCTCCCAGCCGGACCGAGGGACGGACGCCAGCCACACCGGCCAGAGGGAGCGCTCTGAGGCCGGGGGCGCCGTCCAGGCGCGCGCCCCCGACCCTCGGCTGGACCCTGCGATCGGCGCCCCGGACCGACGCGCCGTTTGGCATGGAGCGCCCCCGGGGGCTGCCCTGAGGCGGCGGCGGCGATGCAGCCAGCGCAGCGGCTGCCGGGGCCAGGAACGGCTGCCCGGAGCTCGGAGGACGAGGAGCGCGCCGCGCCCGGGGCACTGACCGAGGTAAGTGCGCGGCCGTCCGGCGCACAGCCCCCGGGGCCCGACTCCGGCTCCCCGCAGGCCCCTTCCCCGACCCGGAGCGAGCGCGAGGTGGTGCTGCAACAGGGAAGGTGGGGCGGGAGGGTTTTTTCATCCTCTCGTTTTCGTGTTTGTTTTTTTCCTCCCTTGGTGAGCCATCGGAGGAAATGCTGACTGCGAGCTTTTCTTCCCCTGCCATGTCTCCGGCTACAGCCACCGGGGAACTTTCCTCCTTGCTAACCTTCGTCCTGGGGGGCGCTCGGGAAAGTTTGAGGCGCCCTCGGTCCCCCTTTGACCGACTTGCACGAAGGGGTTCGGGAGGGAGCGTGGGGAGGCACTGTGGCGCCCGACATCAATCCTGCGAGTGACCTTCCCAAACACCCCGGAATCAGGGTGGGGGTGCCGAGGGGGACGAAGGCTACAAGCAGCCCCGAAAATGCCCCCAAGCCGGAAACCTGCGGGTCCTTGAAGTCATTTCTCTTTTTCGCCTGCTGTGCTTTAATGGAGTAAAAATATTCTGGAAATGATGCTCTCCGCTATTGGGTGAGCCAGTCGACACTCCAGCCGCACCTTTTTGCTTTTAAAAGTCGGCCTTGATCGCGGACCGGATGGCTCCTCAGCTGAGAAGCTCCGGTGGCTTCAGGGCCGGGTCCCCCTACTCTCATCTCACATCTCATCTCACGTGGAAGCAGATATGCTCACATCTGCCCTGGATATCCTGGGGGGAAGCGGGGTGGGGAACCAGGGCTCATTGGAAGTGGCAGCTGGGCTGGGGAGCTCCTTGGGGGCCTTAAGATGGGGCAGTTGAGGCCCGAGCGGGTGTCCATGCTGCCTGTTCTGATGGCGTGTGCATGTGTCATGCGAATATTTTAAAACCGTGTTCGGAATGGGAGATCACAGGAAAGTGTTTCTTTGGAGGTGGTCTTGGTTCTGGGAGGTTCTCCTGCCTCCCCACAGACTGGACTTCCTGGGAGCTGGGGCCACCCTGCCCCCTGTTTCCTAGGGGGCGTACCCATCAGGAACGCTGCACTGCCTGTGACCGTCTCTACTTTCTTCTTTGCTCCCTGTGCCCAGGCTGGAGCCCTGGACTAGAGTGCTGGGGACCTCCTGCCCCCCACGGCCGCGTCCTGGAACCTGGGTTCGCAGGCTCTGTCTCCCGGGAGTGCAGAGGCGCCCACACGCCGCTGAAAGCAGCAGCCGCCTCCTGGAAGGTGGGACCCACGAGGCAGTGCCTCTGGCTGCCCCTCGTCCTCCCTAAGGCTCCAAAGGGAGGCTGGCCCTGGCTGCCACCCACCCGACCCCAGCCTCACCTCGGGCTAGGTTGCTCCTTTGTGGCCCTCATGGTACGTCTCTGCCCTGGCCCGCCGCCAAGTGGCCAGAGAGGGTCAGGGAGGGGAGATCCCAGCAGTGGGTGTCCTTGGAGGCCTAGGGTCTTTCTGTGTGGCTCTCTCTTCTGTTCTGAGAAGAGAACCCCTCCTTGTGCCGGGACACCCAAAGAGACTCCCTAGCGAAGCCTGCCCTTCAGCTGTCTGGTGACCCCTCCCGTCTGGCCAGGGAACCTGGGGTCGCAGCTCTAAGACGGGACTTGGAAGGGCTCCCATCAGGTGCGGCCCAGACCAGTGGCCCCAGAGCAGGGCGCAAAGGGGGAGGGGCTTGAGAACCCTTGGGGACAAGAAGCGGGGCTCCAGTGTGCTGGACAACAGGCAAGGGCCTTCTCCACTGGGCACCACCCAGCGCGTGCACTGGGCATTCTCTAAGTGCCGGGTGTTGGCCTATCCTTGGCAGATGTGGACTCTCCAGGTGAGGGCACAGCAGGGCCTCCTCCGCAGCCCTGGGGAGAAAGGGATGGTCTTCTCTTGGGGAAAGGGCCAGAGCCTGAGTTTGTCAGTCTGTCCCTGGACCCTCCCCACCCAGCTGTCACCTCAGACCCCCAGAGGGCTTCTGTGTTGCTCAGGTATGTGCCTGGTGGAGGGATGTTCAGTGAGCTCTGCTGCGCTGGGCGGTAGAGTGCCCAGAGACGGGCAGGGTCTTGCCCAAAGCCACACAGCAAGTCAGGGGTTTGAGCAGAAGCTTCCTCTAGCTCTCCCCAGGCCAGAGGGCTGCCCCCGCCAGGCTCCCTGCTTCAGGGCCACGGTATTCCTCCTCTCATGTCTGGGAAGCAAGACAGGATAACATTGGTGGCCCTGTGGCGGTGAAATAGTAATGGCAGCAATGATAATAGTAATCGCAGTAACGGTGACAGCAGCCTGGGTAGTTTGGCAGCACTGGGACTGCTTCTGCCCATGGGCAGCTTCCACTGACCCAGCAGGCCTCTGGTGCCTTGGGCCACAGTTGGCAGCACCAAGCATGGTATCCAGAGGTCTTGGCACATGTCTGGGGCCGAGGCAACTGTGTTGTCACTGTCGGCAACCTCCGTGGCCCTTGCAGCCCCAGGCTGGAGGCTGCTGGTGCCCCCTTGGAGCCCACCTGATGCCCCGCCTCAGCCCCGCTGCTCTCAGGGCTGGGCCGTCCCTCTGAGAGGTGCAGCTGGTGCCTGTTGCTGGGCCCCTGCCAGGGCTTTGCCGCGAGTGACACGTGGGCACACCTGCCCCTCCCCTGGGGCCTGCAGCTGGAGCCCTGCCACTGGCTGGCATGGAGGAAAGGCTGGGAGAGACGGAGCTCGTGGGCAGCAGGAGAGGTGGGGCCCGGACTGGCCTCTTGGAAGGTGTGGTGGGTGTGGGCTCGGTCCCACTGGATGCACAGAAGAATTGGCAGCGTGATGGGGAGATGGCCAGGGAGAGGCCGAGGATGAAAGAAAGCCGGCCTGAAACTGGGCCACGGGCAGGGCAGGGAGGCCGGAGGCTTCAGAGGAGCCTTGGGGAGCGGGTGGGGGCTGGGCCGAGGCAGGCGGGCTTCCAGAGGAGCTGGGGCCGAGGGCAGGACTGCAGCCCTCGCTGGGCACTGGCTGAGGGCCCAGCGCTCTGCCACCTGATTTAATTTCCTAATGGCCAGCCAGTGCAGAGGGTGGCACTGCTCCATCGCACAGACAGGAGATTTGAGGCCCTGGGAAGTGCTGGGGGGGATGGAAACCGTGCCCCTTGGACCCAGAGACTTGGTGCTCTCCCAGGGGCAGAACCGCACCTCCCTCGTTCCACAGACAGTCCTTCAGGTGCATTTGTCACCCCGGCTGGCTGCAGGGCCGGCCAGAATGGCATCCCCTCCTGCCTCCACCCGGGGCCTGTCCTGTGAGGCCCTGGCGCCTGCCTGCCCTCCCAGCTCCCAGGTTGCTGTCCCCTGTGGCCTGGCGCGGGCCTACTATGCCGTGGGTGCTCAGCAAATGTTTGGTGGGTCCGTGTCTGGGCCGCTTTCTCTGCCCGCAGAGGCCTCAGCGGGAGCTCCCCTCGCTCTGTGGGCGTGAGCTGCGGTGGCCTGTGAGCCCTGGGGGAGGAGGCCCTGGCCCCTCGCTGCTCTGCTGTGGCCCCAGCACAGTGTCTGGCACCTGCACCTGTGCGTGGTCACCTGGTGCTTAGTGCTTGGGGACCCGGCCCCGCCCGCGAGGGCGTGCTGCTTGGGAGGGAACTTCCGGCTGGACAGCTAGGTCGGGTGAGGCCAGCAGGGTGGCCATGGCCGAGGCCCGTCTCCGCTTGGGTCTCAGTTCGTCATCTTTAAAGCGGGATGGAGGCCCCCGCTGAGGGGGCTCCTGAGGGCACCCAATGTGGGAGGGCAGAAATGGGAGCCTCCGGGGCGTCTCAACAGAAATGGGGTGTGGAGAGGGGCTCTGTGAAGGAGGAGGGTGAACACTGGTGGTGGCAGAGCCTTGGGAATCTGTCCTTCTAGTCCAGCTTTCCCTCGGGCACGTCGGGAGCAGGCCCAGAGAGGGCGGGCAATCTGCTCCAGCAGCAGAAGGCTCCCGCTCCTGGTGTGTCCCTGTACCCTCTTCCTCGCCCTCCCTGCACCGCCCCCGCCTCGATGTTTCACCCTCAGGTCTTCCTGCCCAGCTGCTTAAGTGGCAGCTGCAGAGGCAGCGTGAGGCTGTGGGGTGGAGCACGCTTGGTCCTGCCCGCTAACTCGCCTTCAGCCCCGCAGCCCTGGTGCACGGCCAGGGAGGAATGGGACCCTTTCCTCAGGGCCCCGGGGAGCAGGGCTGTCTGGCTGTGCATTAGTGCTGCCCCAGAGTCAGGGAACGGCCTCCTGGAGCCTGCTGGGCGACCCGCCCTCAGCCCGGCTGAGCTCTCCGGCCCCCTGGGCCTTGAAGCCTCCCCTCCTCTCCTCACTGTGTCTGGGCCCCTTTGGAGCACTCAGGCTTGAAGAGGGGCCAGAGAACAAAAACTAAAGCCTTCCTGGTGGAGGCTTTTGCCAGGCCCACCCCTGGCCACTGTTGTTTGAGCACCTACTGTGTACTTAACTTGCTGTGTGTACTTTAGTCTTGGGACAGCCTTGGGCTCAGGACTCTCCCGTGCTTCCTGCCTCAATCAGAATAAAAGCCACAGTCTTCACCCTGGTTCTCAAGGCTCTATGCTGTCTGGTCCTCATCACTGCTCTCACTTCCCACCACTCTTTCCCTTCCCTGTGCCTCCCACACAGCAGGCTTGCTCCTGCCCCAGGGCCTTTGCACTGGCTGCTCCTGCTGCCTGGAACACTCTTCCCCAGATTACACGGCCCTCCATAACCTTTGGGTCTTGCCACCTCCTTTGTGAGGCCTCTCCTGGCTCCCCTGGATACACCGCAGCCTCCCTTTCCCCTCATCCTTCTCTTGCTTTCTTCCTCTGGAGAACTGAATGCTATCTGCCACATGATGCCTGATTTGTTGATCCTGGTTACTGTCTGTTCCCCTGGAGTGTGAGCTCCTGAGGGCAGAGTTTGGGATGCGGTTTGCTCACAGCTCTGTCCCCACGCCTGTGGCAGCCCCCAGTCTATAGGAGGAGCTCAGTAAACATGCAGGAAGGGAGTGGTCTGTTCATCCATGCTTGGGGCCTGACACACAGGGCGTGCTCAGGAGCAGCGGGAGCCAGAATTGTTGTCCCATTCAGCAGATAAGAAAACTGAGCCTCAGAGAAGTGACGTCACTCTCCCAGAGTCGCGGAGCTGGTCGGAGGCAGAGCGGGCGTTCAGACCTCTCCTCCGAGCCCTTGGCCTGCCCCCTGTCCACGTGAGGGCGAGGGACTGGCATGTATTTCATGTCCCTACTCTGCAGTGAGCTCTTTCTACCTGTGACCTCACCTGCTTCAGGCCCCGACCTTGCTGTGTCCCTGGCACTTGGCCTGCTTCCAGCTCAGGGTGTCCCCACCTCAGCCCTGAGAGGGGCAGAAGCTGTTCCCTTTGCAGAGCTGAGCAAACTGAGGCACAGGGAGTCGGCTGCTCGGCTCTCAGCCCCGCTCTCCCTGGGGGGCTCTTGGTGCTGGCCTCCAGTAGGATGTGTGCAGGCCGGCTGCAGGGCCTGGGGTGCCGGGGGTGGGCACTGTCTCCCTTCTTTGCCTGGTGAAGCATTTTCAGAGGACCCTCAGCTGCTTGTGTATCGTGCCCATGTTCCACCTCCCGCACCCAATCTCTTTTTTGAACGTGATGCCCAGGTTTAAATTTTTTTTTTTTAATTTGCCATTATCAACTTCAGCAGCTTCCCTGTTGTAAAAAGAACAGACATACCGTCTAGTTGGCAAAGCACAGGCTCTTCTGTTGTCTTGGGGTCTTCCTTACACCCTTCTGTGGGGACAGACAGGCTCCCACGTGCGTGCACAGGGACCAGGTCCTAACCAGGACCAGAGCGGAGTGTCCTGGGGAAGAGGAGGACGTGACAGCCCCGCCATGGGAGTGGCGGCCTGAGGCCCAGAGAGGGACAACCCCAGCCAGAGGCGGCACAACGCTCCAGAAGAGGGGGCAGTGTCGAGACCCTCTGCCCTCAAAGCTTCCTCGCAGCTGTGGAAACTTACTTAGGAGAAATGAGGCCCGAGAGGGCGGGGGTGGAGACATTGAGGTGCCGAGCCGTGTGCGCATGTGTGTGCGTGTGTGTGCGTGTGTGTGTGTGTGTGTGTATGATGGAGAGGCTGAACGGCTGAGGGCAGGAGAGGTCAGGGTGGGGATGCGTGGCCTCCATTCCCTGCCCACCTCCCGCTCCTTCCAGCTGCAGCCTGAGCCCCCTGAGCTGGCAGCTCCAGCCCTGCAATTCTCCGGCACTTAAAGCAAAAATAAATCGCTGCCAGCAGCTGGCATTCTGGGTAGTAAGAGCTGCGCCACCCCTGCCCCTGTCTCTGCTCCTCTGGACTCTTGGTTCCAGGCCAAGGCCAGGCCAGGCTTCCACTCAGGCCTGTGGGGGCCCAAGGAGGACTGGGGAGGGCCCAGGGGAGCTGGCCCCATCTAGCCTCTTCTCAGGACTGGAGCTTGGCAAGGCCCAGAGGGCAGGTCTGGCTGGGTCACACAGAGGGCAGAGGCAGACGGACGTCCCGGGCTCCTGGGGGTGCTGGGATCCACGGCAGCTGGAGGGCCTCAAAAGTGGGGCTTCCTACAGGCCTGCCTGGGGGCCTTGTGAAAACAGGCTATGGACAAGATCCTGGGAACCCCCGAACACACCACCCTAGGGACCAGCCCCTGGATATCTCTTTTCTGGCTGGCCCCTCCCTTCCCTTCTCAGAATCCTGGAGGTCTCGGCTTGTCGAGTATCAGTGACGCAGGCTCTGAGGCTGTCAGAGTTGTGCATCATTCATGCTTTCAACGATCAGCTCTTGAGCGTGGGACTGTGTTGCTGTCTGGGTGAGTGTGGAGGATAAAAGAAACAAATGAATTAACAGGTAAGGAAGCATAGACTTTGTCATATTGTTTTGTTAATTGTTACAACTTTTAAGGACAAGAGTGTTACATGCTCATGGTAAAGGATCCAACAATAGTAAGGATAGAAAGTTCATTTCTTCTTCTCCAACTCCGTCTCCCCCTCAGCTCCGCTCTGAAGCTTTCTGTTCTTGAGGTGACCATTGCTAGAGAACCTTCTGGGTTGTCTGAGTGCTTATGCAAGCGCGTGAATGTGGTTATATAAAAATACCAACATCTGTGGTCCCCTCTCTCGTTCTGGTTTTTGTGTGTGTGTGTGGGGTCATTCCATAACTGTTGTCCCCTCCGGTGCCCCAGTGCCCTGGACCCCGGGGCTCCATCTTCGCTCCTTTGATGGGCATCGGGTTGAAGGCTGAGTCAGAGGCATGAGCACACGGAGCCGCTGGAGTTCACGGTCGTGGGTTCTTTGAGTTGTGAAGTTGTGTCCTCTTTGAGATGGAGGGTAGCCTAGACTTGTCGAGTTGGCGCAGCACCGGGAGAGGCGCTGAAGCCTCGCCGAGTACCTCCCTCCTCAGACCTTCTGGGAGCATTTGGAGAATGCTGATCTCCTGACTCCATTCCCGGGAATTCTGCTCCCGGGGGTCCAGGGCGGAGCCTGGGAATCTGCACTTTTCTGTCTCCCCAGCAGTGTGGCCCCAGCCAGCGTGCTGCAGGGAGGCCCCTGCAGCAGCCAGGCTGCCTGACTCTGGGCGTGTCCTGTCCCCTCTGGGCCTGAGACCACTGGGCCAGTCCAGCTCCTGCCCGGGGCAGCCTGGACCGGGAAGAGGCCTCTGCTCTGAGCACACGCCGCTGGGAGGGTACTCGCCACGGCCACTGGCTCCTCCTTGGCGCTCGGATCGAGGCGGGCCTCTGTTGGGGAACTGATCAGCCCCGATTCATCTCTGAGCTTCTCATCTTGGCGCCCACCACCTGCTCGGCCGGCCCTGTCACCCTGTAATCTGGTTGGAGAGGAATCAGAAGGACAGTTCCCACCTTGCTCCACTGAGGGCCCCTGTGGGAAAGGGTCTAACAGACTGAGTTTGGGAGAGGAGTTAATCCCCCCATGCTCTTCCTCGAGCCTCGGTTTACCCATTTGTGAAATGAGCGTGAACAACACACCCCGTCTGAGCACCCGCTTTCTCATCCCTTTTCCGCTTCGGCTCTGTGGGCAGGGCAGGGCAGGGCCGGGCAGCTTCCTCTCCCCGCCTCCCTCCCGCCCCTCTGCAGGTGGACCGGAGGCTCAATCTGCCCAGCGCCCCCGCCTGCTGTGCCTCAAGCTGTCGCCAGCACCTGCCCGGCCAGGGCAGCCAGGCCCCTCCGGGGTCTCCAGAGCCTCAGGACCACTGCAGGGGGGTGCCCAGAAGTCCCTGGGGGCAGCCACAGAGTGGCCCAGCCCCTCCCTGGGGGCTTTGTAACAGAGGAGACCCTGGCTGGCCTCTTCCTTTCTCCTCCCGGCCCTCCTAGCCACAGCCTCAGGGGCACCACGGGGCTGGCCCCAAGCCCACAGCAGATGCCTGGCCCTGAAGCCCCGGGGCCAGGCGACCAGGCTCTGGGCCCTATCCTGACCCAGCTGCCCTCCTGGGGGTCTCAGGACCAGCTGTGGCTGGGGGGGTTGTTGGGTTCCTCCACTCCCCCGCAGGTCAAGCACAGGTGGACCGGGAGTGGATGGGGAGCTGGGCCCCATACCTTGCAAAATGAGAACACTAGGAAAATGGGTTGAACCAATCCTGACTCTGTGTCTGGGGTGTCCAAGGAGCACGGGCACAGACGTCTGGCAGGACAATCAGCCAGCCGGGTCCAGAAAAGAAAACAGGGGCGGGAAAGTGGGGAGCAAGGCAACCCTGTATTAGTTTCGTGTGACTGCCGTAACAAAGTGCCACAAACTGGGGGCCTGAAACAACATAGGTTTATTTTCTCCCAGTTCTGAGGCCGAAAGTCTGAAGTCAAGATGTTGGCAGAGTTGCCTCCTGCTGAGGCTCTGGAGAAAGTGGTTGCCTCTGGCTTCTGTGGCTGCCCCAGGGCTCGGAGCAGGGTTCTAGACGCATCCTCCAATCTCTGCCTCTGTCTTCACATGGCCTTCTCCCTAGGTCTTCTTTCTTCTTCTTTTATAAGGATGCTTGCCATTGGATTCAGGGCGCATCCCAATCTAGGATGATCCATCTCCAGATCCTTAATTAAATCTGCAAAGATCCTTTCTCTAAATAAGGTCACATTCACAGGTTCTAGGTGGACACCTTTCTTTAGAGGGGCCATCATTCAACCACCATGCCTGGTCAGCCTGGACCGTGGTCATGACCAATCCGGGTATGCTGCCTTGTGTCTTCACTTTTTCTTTTTTAAGAAAAATACTCTTTTTTAGCAATGTACCTAGGAGACACGTAGTGTTGGGGTTACATGCTTGGTCTCTGCTACTGACCAATGGTGTGTCTTTTGGCAGATTACCTGATTGTTCTGTGTCTCAGTTTGCTCATCTGCAAAATGGAGCTATCTACGGTCCTTACCCTGGATCCGAGCTGTTGGGAGCTATGAGAGGCGACACTCAGCCTGGGTCGGGGAGGGTGTGGTGGACGACACCTTTTATTAGTACCTCAATCTGCAAAATGGTTTTAAAATCTAACTGGTATTTCCTGCCTGAGGCTGAATTTCTCTTTGGTCAGCTTGCCTCATCTGGTGCACTTTGAGGTCTCCAACTGCTGGCGGTTATTGCCCGTAATGCTGCTGTGAACACCAGAGACATGGCCTTATCCTTGGCCCATCCAAGCACAAAGTTCTGGAAACGGCCCTGCTGGGTTGGAGGGCCTGTGGCTTTGTGACTTTGAGAGCTGTCACTGCTGCGCCCTCCTGGGGCAGGGTTGTTCCTGCCCCTTTCCTTGGCGGGGTTACACCTCCCGAGTCCTACCCGTGTGGCCCATCACCCAGGCCCGCCGTCCTGGCCGAGGAGGGTGGTGCCTGCCCTTCAGCGGCTTCCCCGTGTTTCTCTCATCCTGGAGCCGGACGGGGAGCCTCTCTTCGCGTTAGACACCTTGCTGTGGCTCTTGTGCAGAGGCCACTCCCCTGAGCCTCCTTCCCCCGGGGCGTCTCGGGAGGCGGCGGGTTGCCCCTGCCGCACGCAGGGCCCTTTCTCATGCTAGTGGGTCTTCATGGCGAAGCCCAGGTTCCGGGAGCAGTGGCCTCATTTCCAGCCTCCAGAACCGAGGCTCAGAGAGGCCACCGGACCGCCTGTCCCCTCCTGGAGCCCGCAGTCTGTGCCGGGGCCCGGGGCTCCCCAGCCCCCGCTTCCCTGAGAGCTCCTGCCGCCGGAGGGGGCGCTGGGTTCATGCCCTGGCCCCAGGCCGTGTCCCTCTGGAGGCGGCCAGCACACCCATGAGCGTGGTGCCCGGGCTGAGGCCGCGGGGCGGAAGCCCGCGTGTCCTGCCCCCTCGGCTCCTGGCGGCTCTCAGTGTTTTAGGGGCCTCAGCACAGTGCAGCCCTGGCGGTGGATTCAGCAGCCTGCGGGGTCACCGGGTGCCTTTATTTCTCAGGAAGTGGCGTGACGTTTTGCCGAGACTTGGCGCCCAAAAATAATAATGAAATGACTGTTTACGCGGTGTCCTCTGGTGCCAGGCGCTGTGCTGAGCGCTTTCCCGAACATTATCCCATTTAATTCTCGAGACGTCCTGGCCCGGCAAGGAGCAGGGCTTCCGAGGTGAGGCACAGAGCGGGGCAGGGGGCCAAGCCGCATTTGAACTCAGACTGAGAAGCCCCACGAATGGGGAATTTCTCCCCAAAGGCACGAAGTTCTGTAAGTGTACCAAGGCCTTGCCAGGTTCTCCCTGGAGGGAGGTGGCGGCCCCCTGGGCCGAGGGTCTGGGAGATGCAGTGTTGGGCACGAGCCAGGTTGGCCTGGAGTTAAGGGGGCCGCCCCCTGCCTCTCGTATGTGGCTCGAGGTGAGCAGCCTCACCTCTCTGAGCCTCACTTCCCTACTCTGAGAAATGGGGCTAAGTCTCCCCTGTTTAAGCTGTGACTGTGTGTGCCCGGAGTTAGAACTACTTCAGGATTCCAGGTGACGGAGGGTTCTCAGAGTCCTGTCCATTTTACAGGTGGAGAGACTGAGGCCCCAAGAGGGGAAGGGGCTGGCGGAGCTGACACCCACACTGAAGGATCTGCGGCCCTTCATACTGTGACCTTGGCCACAGAACATGGGGCTGGTCCGTTCTTCCTCATTCTTACCCCCTCAAGACGAGGATGGAAAGACAGATCATTGTTTGTGCACCTACTGTGTGCTGGGAGGCTCATGCAGGGGAAAGATTTAGGCCAAGGCCCTGCTAAAGCTCTCGGGGTGGGGACCATGCCCGCTTTTTCCATTTCTTAGGTAGCGGTGGGGCTTGAGTTTCTCCCCCGGCCCCAAGTCCTGGGAGCTCCCACCCCGCTCATGGCTGAGTTCTGCACTTCTGTGGATGTGGGGGGTGGGCATGTTGGGGTGTCCGTGAGCCTGTCCGTGAATGTTGTCTGATGCCCCAGGATGTGATGGTGGCAGCTTTGTAGAGACAACAGAGCTGTCAATCACTTATTCGTTCATTCACTTATCCACTTAACTTTGGACCAAAGTTAAATGAATTCACGTGGCCTGAGTAGAAGTCTCTGCGGGGCGCAGGGGTGCTGGGGGTGGCGGAGCAGAGAAGGTAGCCCAGGGGAGGGGGTTCTGACTCCTGACCCCACGGGAGGCTGCTGTGGCACCACTGCCTCCCAGATGAATGTCCAGCCAGCTGGGACCTAAGGGAGCCCTTCAGAGCTGTCCCTGTGGCCCTGGGCAGGCATCAAGGCAGAGAGGTCCCCTGCTGGCCTGCCTCTTGAGCCCACCCTGGCCCTCCTGGACATGCGAGGAGCGAGACTCAAAGGACATGACCCCCTGAGTCCAGTTGCAGCCCTCTGCCTCTCAGGGTGGCTGAGTGGCCTCATGGACCCCTGTCACTCTAGGCCCCGCTTCCAAGCTTGGGAGGCTGG